TATATATATTGTATATATATATATTTATATATGTATGTATGCATATTGTTTTGTACTACGGAAGAAAAAATGAAGATTCCGTCATTTTGGGTAAAAGTGTTAGTATGAAGCAGCGGTCGATCGTATCGATAAGAATTTCAAGAATATTGATGTTACATTGTAATATAACAACTCGACTAGCTGAGATGTTGCGTTTTTTTCTTTCTTTCTTTGAATTCGATCGCATCTTTTCATTTCTGTTTACTTTCCTACGAAATCTGCAAGTTAACGAAAACATTCTCCTCTTTCCTCGTTTATCTCACCTATCGACTTATACTCTGAATCGAATGACAAGTAGATATCGAAATAAAACTTTATTTTAAGTTCAACCGCTCTTAGCTGCTCACTTCTTCACTATCACTAAATTTAAGTTTCAATTCCAAACCTAAACATATCGCTCAGCTGATGCTTGTTTTTTTTTTGTTCCGATGGCGCGATGAAGTCTTCAATAGATCATTATTATCATAGTGGGAATTCGACCATGAATAACGGCTCAATGGATCAGTTTACGATCAATTCGATATTGATGTACACAATTTTGATTGGTTTTTCATATTTGTTATTGATTGATTTGTGAAGTTTTTTTGAATCGGTTATTCTTTGAACGGTTCATTAACTCATTGGTTCATTATTCATTAACTCAACGGTTCATTAAATCGGTTCATTAACTCATTCATTGCACAATATAAAGTTAATCTTTCAAATATAGTTATATTGGTGATGAATTTCATACTTGAGTATAAGGGTAGAACAATCAATGGTCAGATTCACATTTTGATCTAGTTTAGACCCTATGAGTTCTAAACCGAGCTTTCCGGTGATACCGGTGTTCCTTCTCTTAACCTTTCGCACCCTTTTGGCCCCATAGCTGACTGCCATTCTCTCTTCCGTCCAACAATATATTATTACATAGCAATTGGAAGCCAAAAAATTGATCAAATGGCCAAGAAGTTTGTTGTTAACTCTTCATAACCGTCTCATTGTTGTTAACAGTTTATCGCTGGTATAAGAAGAATCGCTCAGAGATAAAGCAACATTATTGTGCCAAACTCTTTAACTCCCTCTCTGATATCCTTAAATCCCCCCTCTTCATGGAAAGCACTGCTTTGAACTGCAATCAGTGACCCTCATTTGTACCGCGTCATTAACAACGAAGTATATTTATTCGCTTATATAACCACCTTTTAACATGAAGAGTCATAAGAAGTGCAGTTATCGCCGTCTCTTCATAACTCATTGTTCGAAATTCCATTGTACTTGAGAAGGACTTGAATGATTACTCGATTGTTGCGGTGTATGTATTGTTCCATTTTTGTTTTTAGACACCGTTTATTTCACTTTTAGGCTATAGCAATAAACGAATAGTAAGTTATTATTTCGGATGGGTGATAAATTTTACGCAGTTGCACACGGTCGTAAGCCGGGTGTATATGAGGACTGGAATGAGGTTCAGAAACAGGTATAACATCTGAATTAGTACACTTTATTGTTGTTCTTGTAGAGATTATTTGCAGTTTATCACCGAAAATTGATCAGTTCTTCATTTTGTTATGAAGTTCTTTCAACTAATGTCACATACTGTTGAGTGATTATGATTAGTCGCAAACTGTTTAATCGTCTTGCACCATCATTCAGATACACGATTATCCTCAGCCAGTTTATAAAAAGTTCACCAATAAGGAAGAGGCTGAAGAATTTTTCAAGGCTCGACAACCCGAGCGAATATCAAGTATTTAATATTTGTTCGTTTTCTTTATCGAAAAGTCATTTTATATCACATTCGATTAAATGAATATATGCTCATTCATTGTTCATCTGTGAACAGTCAGTCCTATGAATGTCTTCAGTGGAAGTTGATGAATCAGCAAAGAAGTTCTACGCTGTCGCAAGAGGAAAAGTGATCGGTGTATTTACGGATTACGAAGAGGTGAAAAAACACGTGAGTGCATTGATCTCGTTCTTGTTCTCGTCTTCAGTCATTTAGAAAGCCGCATGTAACCTTTTCAAATTCTAACCAATGTTGTGGTACCGTTCAATTTAAACGATTTTATTCCAGATTGCTGACTATCCACAGCCAATGTACAAGAAATTCGAAGATCTCACCGAAGCAAAAGCGTATTTTAAAAAATATACAAGTGGAGAAGATCATGCTGGTTAGAATGTTCTTACTACAAGTTCTCACGTCCTCCCTCTTATATTCGTATTCGAAAGGTGAAAGAGTGAGTGCACTCACTGTTCACAATTACAATCTAGGAATTCTGAAATGGGTCACGAGATGTGCTTTGTATATGGAGCGACTGAAAGATAGGGTTTAGGTGATATTATCGCATCGGGTTGACGTGACATTATACCACCTAACGAACAATTTTAGCATTCTGATTATCCGAATCAAGTTGGAATGGAATATGCATCGGTACACTGCATTCGATTTGTGAACAGTCGTTCTTGTATTGCTTAAGTGACCAATAAAGGCACTAGATTCTGAATTGCTTTCGGTTTGAAAAGATATCTGTGAATAATAAAGGCAATAATTTGAGAAGACACAAACGTGCATAAGGAAAAAGACGAAGCAAGCTCAACCAATAAAGATGATAAGAAGTCTGAAGGAAAAGATAAAAAGCAAGACGACAGTCATCACCGTGCTAAAGACAACACCAAAGAAAAAGAGAAGACGTCACACGATTCAGCTGAGAAAAATGATTCGAAAGACAAGGCTGATTCAAAAGTATTTTGGCAATCAATGGAACTTATTTTCTTTCTAACGTTCAGTTGAAAATGTCGAAAGTCTATAGATTGCAATTTCTACAGTCATGTTTTGGTGGAAATTTCAAAAATACAAGGCGACTTCCGGAAAAAAAAATTGTATGTAGATTATCTGAAACATTTCATGTTCAGGAGAAAGTCTATTACGCAGTAGCGCGGGGCCACAAACCTGGTGTTTATGCGACTTGGGCTGAATGTCAGGAGCAAACTAAAGATTTTAAAGGAGCGAAATTCAAGAAGTTCACGAATGAAGAGGATGCAAAATTATTCGCTGAGGGCAAAACGCTCAAACAAATTGGTATTTCTCAGTTGGATTATTTTTTTTTCGTTTGATTATTCAACAACTAGAATGTAAATTTGTTTACTTTTCTATTTCTTTCCACAAACCTATGTTCTCTAGAGTTGTCTGACTGACTGCAAAGGTTGTTACATTTGAAAAGTGAATTAATTATTATTGAATGTGATCAAAGCAATAATTTTAGAAGAGCGCAAACGTCCGCATGATAAAGAGGACAGTGAAGAGAGTGTTGAGCCAAAGAAAGCGAATAAAGAGAAGGAGAAAGCTTGAGGTGTTGTTCGTGTCTTGTTTTCGTTCTTCTTGCTGTCACCATTCTGTGCGATACTCTCTGAATTCCAGCATCGAATATCGTTCAACTAACATTGTTTCATTTCCTGTTTATTTCTAAATTTTACAAAATTTTTCTAGTGTAATTTGTTTCTGCCGAGGAGAATATCTTACTGATCGCATGCGCTCTAACTGATATCCTAGGATTAATGTATATAATTTTTAAATCATTTTTCTCCTTTTTTGGCCTATTCAGGTGGGTTCTATTGTGTTTAGCGCTGCGTTTTCTGTTTTCTTTCGGTGTTTCATTGTATTACCTGAAAATTTTCCGTTGTCTTATCTGGATTTTCATTTGAATTTCGAATTTATGTTACTGATATCAGCGTTTTTACTGCTTTTTATTTTCTTTTAATTCCTGTTGTAAATGTGTACTGCCACGAGTCTCATCTATTACTTTAAGTTGTTGTAATGATTTGGATCTGTAAAAAAAGTTAAAATTTTTGCGAATTTTTTCGATAGAGAAGAATTAGGTTAGCTGAATGCGGGTGGATTGAAATCGTTTTTGTTTTGAATAGAGAGTATTTGATGTTGGATAGCTTGCACTTGAATGAATGCAACACAATGTACGTTCAATAAACATTGTTTACTTTTAATTTTTTGTTTCTATTTTTTCTGAAGTTTTGATGTTAAACTACGATCATTGATAGTAAAATCTGTTATTTACTATATTTTTGCCAATTTCTCTGCAAATCGTTACTTCTGTCACTCTTTTTTTTTTCTCCTGACAACATTCGAAACCCGTGATTTGCTGTTGTTGTATCGGATCGCTTTTGTGAATTTTCGATATCAACCGATTTCTGTGCTCATCGAAATTGAATTTTTGTAATCGGGTTTACGAGATATTTGTTCGCGTTCTAATGATGATATTTGTAATTATTATTGCTACGTATACTCTTATTATCAGTGGTATTACTTTATCTGATATGGTTGTTGTTATTAATGTTGTTGTTGTTGTTGTTGTTGTTCATATGATTGATGCGTATTATCAGCAACTGATGTGCGATACTTTCAGATGCTAGTGGTGTATGGCTTGTGATCAACTTTTTCAGAAGTGTTATTGATCTGAAATTCTGGTTAATGAACGGTCAAATTCATTCAATAAAATGCTGCATGAAAACTAAAAAATTGAGTTTTATTCGGATGTTCTAATTGTAACAATTCACAAGCGTGTTTATGCAAACGAGTATTTCATTGAAAATATCAGGTCCACTTGTCGTCTCGGAGTTTCTTGTTATAGATGATTTGAAGTCGGGTGCATGTTGATAACGTGTTACATCCAAAAATTTTGTTGCAATTGTCACTAACCAACTTTAGGTGATCTTAGTTTGTTGTACATCACCGTCAAGCCTTTGTTGCTTTGTTACCTCCTGATAAAAACCTTTATTATGGTAGTAATAATCAGTATGGATTGTAATAATACTCTTGTACTTGTTGATTTGTTCAGTGACGGTGATCATTATGATATTCATATAATAAAGATATTCTTCTTGCTTTCAGTGCTTGTCTAAAATCAATTACGAATTGTTTGGCTTTGAAAAAGAAATTGACGGCGCTAAGTACCAAAAAATGACCATCACCTGTATGAAACATAAACTATCCAGTTATGAAAATTGTGCTGCAAAAATTACCAACTGTTTACTCTTCTGATGTATCCTTCCTTTCCAATACATATAGAAGCAGTTTTTCATTTTCTAAAAGTCCGCTAGACGAGATTAGATATAATAAATGATTTGTTGGAATGCACGTATAGCAAACGACATGTGTTCATTGTACTATCTATATATAAGCCTAGATTATTTCTGTACCACATTCATCCATTTTCAATCGGATATGTTCTCGAGCTCTTTTCTCGCACTTTGCATTGTTCTATTCCTTCAGGTATTATATAGTGATTTGAATATTCATATTACTTCCTTCAGAGCGAAGTGAGATATACTATTATATGACTACCTTAGGCATCATTGTGTTCCATAAACGAATTGTTGACGCTCTCAGAATGCGGTAAATCCGTATCGTGTTGGTCTTTTCCACCGAATTGTTCGGATTCAACTTGTGATGGTATTATTAGATGGCGAATGAAAGATAGCATTCTACGACTGGAATGGCAGGTCGATGTTTAATCTTGATCGTGATTAACCACATCCTCAGTTCTATTCAGATTCTACACTGGGTGCAAAGGAAAACTGACCGGTTTGACTGCGATTGCATTTTTAGTGGGATATTTTGAATTGTATTTATAATTGCTATTTATGCAAGCATTCACAAAAGCATTTTTTAGGCGAAAGATATCGAAGATCATACAAATGGACGTTACTCGGCGATTGGATTTTCGAAGGATAGTTTGATGGTTCGTTGACTATTTCTATTTTCTCGATTGAATTTGTTTGTAAACTCTTCATGGGCTTGCCCCGTCTTGTTTCTGTCATCGTGCTATGTCATGTCGGTAAGCCATTTTTTCTCTGTCAGTAAGCGAAACTTCCTGAAAGTTTTCAACTTCATAAAACGGTATACGTTCGATACGTCTTATTTTTATCACAATAACCACTGGCGTACGCAGTGAGGAGGAATTGGGGATCAACTCTCCTCCTCTTTGAAAACTGGAAGACCTTTATCGGGGTTTTTATGCTTACTTCCATTGACATCTTATCCACTGGAATCCAGTATCCCTTCCTTTCCTCTCGAAAATTCTTTGTGCGTACGACGGACGTCGCACAGAATTGATCTAAACATATCTTCTACACTCTGAAGTTGTTTTGCTTTGAAGTGAAAACATATTTGCTACATTAAAAGTATGAAAAATATTATTATTCTATTTTGCTTTAGTTAGGGCAACTCCAGATAATTTTTGGACATCTGTTCCAGATAATTTTGGAATAAGCGAATCGGATTAGAGTGATAATCTGAAGAGATTCAAAAGAAGTTTAAGTCACAAATAAGGAATGAACACGCTTAAGTAAATGAAATAGGAAAATGAACACAAGAAAATATAACATTGTATCTGAAATGTTGGTTTCATTGCGTGAAAATGAAGTTTGATGAAAATTTTTCCTAAAATAAAAGTTAAGTGAAAATGAAATTTTCATAATTTTCACGTTGAGGTTAGTGACTACACAACCTGCGATTGAACTGCTAATGCAATACAACCGCTAGTATTTCGTGTTGGTCCCGTGGTTTCCTCAGTCTTACGTGTACGTATTTACACGAGCAGTCCACCGAAGTTTTGCTATAATGAAATCCGTTTCGGCGTTAGCAACTGAACGAATGTACAACCGTTGTCTGCAACCAATAAGTCAGCATGGCATACCCAAATGACACCCTCCCCAATAGTAAATGTCAAAGCGCACATTCAAACAAATGTTTTTATCAGGGTGATGATCTGGTAATTGAATGTGTTTTTACTGCAAGTGGCAATGGTTCTGTGTATATTTCGTACAATCAAGGTGTATACAACAATCGATTAGTTCACGTAACTAATAAGTTATTAAGAAATAGTAAGGCCTACTTGATTAGCTCTCGAATGCTGTGCATTACGGAAATTCAGTTGGATGCTAGAAAAGCATTAACGAGCAGTCAAAAACGAATGGTTCGTTGCCATTAATCACTTATCATGATTATATGTGCTTTTCACTCCTTATTATTACTCTGCTGTCGTGAAGACCATAAAAATTTTGATTATATCAATCAAACACATTTTCGTATTGTACTTTCTCTCAGCAGATCCATAATCAGTGTACTTTTTTTGTGAACAGTATTTTTCAAAGTGTATACAAAACAAGCGATTTTGGTGAACTGTTTTTGAATAATCGTATTCCAGTGTTTGGTTGCATATAGAGTACCTTTTCAACTGTTATCTTTACATCTGGAATATGCACCAGTTTGTCTGTCACTCATATTACTCATTCATATCTTTGTGATTCGTTTTGTTGGTTTGATTCAAAACAAAATTCAGGTGCATGATCTTGCGTCGGAGAAATTTAAACTGCTCTACGCCAAAGGGCGTGCCGATCCAATCAGTGAGTTTTATCACAATTTCTCAAGATCATTCTCTTAGTCGACAGTTGTTCATTCTTGAGATGCACTGTAGTTTGTACTTTAAGTATTCATGATTTATAGGTGGAGAGAAACGTACACATGAAGTGAATGGTGGAGAGCTTTACCCGTGGTCGACCACAAAAAAATATCGTTTCTGTGAGGACTGCTCACAAAAATTTGCTGTTGTTACCGATATGAGACAGTGATCATTTCATTGGTTTCTGCTGTGATACTTCATTTGAGTAAATTGCAATTCGAATTTGTGATGTGAAACTTTGTGTTCAGTTGCATTCACTTGCGTTTTTCCGAACAATTTTCAATGAATTATGAGCAAAAATGTGATCATAATCGGCAATATGACAACAATTTTGCATGGTCACCTTTAACAACAAACACATTGTAAGAACAACAAATTTTATATTTATTGATCAAGTTTCAAGCATCCTAACGAATATTTGTGTAATTATGAATGAAGAGAATGTCTCTTTTCTTTTTAATATTTTTGACAGACATCCATTTTTCGACACCAACAGCAACCCATTTCATGTCAAACTGGTCTCCTTCTTCGATCACAATAATATCCACATAGAAGAAAACGTTCTCTGTACTCCTTATTTTACTCACCATATTCGATCCGGCAGTATTCCGAATAAGGAGACATGAAGTGACATACCAGCACCGGATTTATGCAAATTCACCAAAAATTATTTCACTAGTTTTTCATACTCTGAACTATATTTATTGTGTTGCAATTAATTTCGTTGAGTTCCACGCATTTTCTTCGCTCTCTTCCATGTTGACTTCGAACTCAGGACTTTCCAAATGTTATCTATTTGGGAACCACTAACAGCTGATCGCGAAGAAACGTAATTCAGTGTTATCCTAAATCAATATCATTTGACAAATGTGTATTTGTATATGCATTCTACAGTTCAATACTGAATAGAATGCAATTTAAATTTATGATAATTTCATTATAAATCAAGCACGAACACAGCGTTGAGTTTCATTAATCCGATCAGATTTTGAGCGCTATACTGATGCTGTGTTAGCACTCGTTATTTGCTATTAAATATGACAGTGTATTATACAATATAAAATAATTACTACCTTTTCTCACTACGAACTAAACAGCAACGCCAGTTAAGCTCTTCAACATCACGAAACGGTTTCGTGCCGTTGCAAGAACTGCATTTGTTTCGTATCATCACGTTCTTATTCAAACGAAATTATTTAAATTCTACCTATTTCACTGCATACTGCATGTGTTTGTGTATGCATTCTTGATCAGAGTTGTGAATCAATCGCAACAAACAGTCATATTCAACACCTATTATCAATCACAAATCAAATCATTCCTTTTCAAAACCCATCTATCCATTCGATCGATCATCCATTCATTGAACAACCGCTTTAAACTAACGCCAAATCAGATCAACTTAAACAAATCAACGGCACATCATCACTCCTTTATTATTATTTCTATTGTTCATTTATTCAACACCGTTTCCAGAACAATAAATTTGATAATAACAATAATAATACACCATCAATCGAACTGCATTAAAAAACAATCATCACCTTCTTGAAAAGTCGTGTTGTTGTTAGTATAACTGCATGTTTTGTCATTTATCTGCTTGTTTTCTGTTTGATTTTATACCAACCTGCTGATTTGCACAACAACAATGTTTTGTTTATCGAATGCGCTGATATTTATTCATCTATTCCTTCTCTTTCTACAGGTATATTTATATCAATATTGAGATTCGTCTTATCATTATTACTTTTTCCATTATTTGGATAAGTTTAAGAGTGATAGTAATACTCGTTCTTACAATTATTACTGTCAATAGTGCTGTTCACTTGCTTTACTGTTATGTTCATTTCAAAAGACATGAAGCGTCTTTTAAATACACCGACATGTAACAATAAACGTTTGCTCCGTTATTACTGCTCAAGTTTTGAACTGGAATAGAAAGAAATAATTATCATTAACTGCCTCTAAAAGCAACAAACGCTCTACAAATAGGCACAAACATATAAAATGAATGCGCAATATGAAATATTTGTTTGCATTGGTGTATTGAACGATGTATCACATTACATATTTATTCAATGCATCATCCGATAAATCGAATCGAATCTATTCCATTGATCTCGTGTCATAATACATAGTCTATTTTCCTATTCTGAAGTACATCGTAGTGTTATTAGTCTAGATAAAATATTACATTAGCTATCGAATAGTATTTATTCAATGATTGCTCACTTGAGAAGCATTCGATCAGAAGACAATGATGTGTTAATAATCATAGAATGAGTGAAATAAATGTGCAGCTCTTTGAAAGAATAATTTTTAGTTCATCTTCATCGATGGATCATTTTCATCAGACAGTTGTGGCAAAGACAAGAGTTGTTGGTTCCAAGCAGCAGATTGTGCAGCGAATAACATCCAGAAATGTTTAAGTTCAGTCCAATGGACCATTTTAAAAGATGGTATAGTTTTTCAATTGGAAGCAACACTGAGTGGTCTCGATCCAACAATGGCACATTATATGGCATTAGGAATGAGTAAAGATATGCGAATGGTTCGACTATTAATTGATTTTAAGAGTGTTACAACTCTGTGTTGATGAACATAATGGATAATTTGAGGGTGATGACACAGTAATCGAGTGCGTGATTGGTGTTGATGGAGTGGGTAAAGCGTTTGTTTCGTTCAACGACGAGACAAATAACAAACAACTGCTACAGGTAATACGAGATTTCTTAATGCATGACTCGATGTCGTTCAACTCATGCTATAAGTGCTATGAATTTGAGTCATGTTAGCGTTGATTCATTGGCTTCCTTATCTATGAATGTCAAATAAGACATTCAATTGCAGGCGTCTGAGGTGATGCTAACTGAAACGTCGTCGTTCGTTGAAGATGGTCATATGATTTGCAATATGAAGTGGATGTTTAATGGACGAGATAAAGTCGACAGGGCTGATCTCTTCAAGGTCGATTTAATTACAGTTCACTTTATACACATATCCATTCATGCATGAACATTCATTTTTTTCATTTCACTACACTAAAAATTTCACTTACTTCTAAGTTATTTTCAGAATCGGCGTTCAACAATTTTTGTTTTTAGGTGTTTGATTTGGAGTCACAGAAGTGGAATCTCCTCTTCGCGAGAGGAAATGCGGATAGAAGAAGTAAGAATATAACACTGAGTTCGAAGCTGGTTGATGTGTATTCATGTATACAAGATATTGGGCTCAAAATTTTACGTACTTTACTATTCGTAGAGTTGTTGATCTCGTTGATGAGTTGATGATCGCAGAGTTGATACTACGATCGTAGAGTTGATAAATTTCGAGTAAATCGATCTCGTTAATGAAAATGGAGGAACTATCTGCATCCATTATTTTTAAACTGAACCCAATCACCGTGATGTCAAACGTTGCAAAATTAGATTAAAAAACTCAGCGTTCAATGAAAGATCGGCATATCAAACATTGAAAGATTTCAATTCAAATGAAGTCAAAGATTGAATTTTATTGGGGCATTGCTTTCGAGTTTTGTGATCATGTCTGCTGCTGCTGCTGCGTAATGTCTGATTCATGAAGCATAGATTCATTCTGTCTGGAAAAGATGAAACATGTATCATCTTGCATAGAGATTTCTCACTAAAAATTTATTCACCTTTCTGTTCAACAATGGCCCCGAATGTGACATGAAGGTTTTGAAGGTTATCATGTCAACAGGCTTAGGTTTATCAAGTAAGCTAGGATTATCCAGTCGAGCAGTAAATCTTTTGGCAGTAAATCTTTTCAACGATTCACTCAACAATGAATCATCTATTTGTTCTTGAACAGACTACAGTATTGTGAAGAAATGAAATAAATGAGCAACCTCAGTGAGCTTTACATTCACAAGAGAGCAATAATGCCACAATTTTGATATTTTTAGGGATGTCATTTCGAAGCTTAGTTCTCATCAAAACTCGTTATAGACATGATGTTTCATAACCGTCTGATAAAACATAACTTAACGCATCAGAAACCCACACATCTTCTATGCTAAAAATCCTCCATGTTAAGCGTGCTCACCTATTTGTCCACAAATATTTCTGCGAAAACGAATTGTATCATGGAACCAACCAATAGTAATGAGCATTTATTCATTTGATTCAGTTACTTTTAGGTCTTCAGAAAGAGATACATTCTGTTAACGATGGCAATTTGTTTCCGTGGATATCTGTGCAGCAAGTGGAATTTTGTCGAAGTAATTGTAGTGGTGATCAAAACGTTATCGTGAATGATATGAAACAAACTGACGTATCACGATATTGGCGCTATAGGTTTGCTGTTATGCATGGTTCGTGCTACCATCACTTCACTGTTTCCATTACGTAATGAACGAATTTCCAGAAAATATCTTTAAACGATTCATTATTATCTCATAATCTTACTATTTCAGGTATTTTTCTTTTAATTGCCTGGTGGGTTCTTGGCTCATCGGCAATTCTTATGGCTCGTTATTTCAAACCAATATGGCCACGAAAAAAATTGTTTGGTACCGCTGTTTGGTTCCAGGTTTGTCGTTGAATTAACATTTGCTCTTGTTGTTGGCATCAGCCAATATATATATAAATGTTATTCGAGTCACTTTTATCAATCGTAATAACTAGTGATGGTGATTTTCAAAAGTTTGCTGCATAAATTAGTGCTAGGATAGATCTCGTTAGTTTGAATGCGTCAGAATATTCTTTACAGGTGCATCGAGACTTGGCAGTGGCATCGGTTTGCTTACAGGTGATTGCAGTGTTTCTAATAATTTATCAAGCTGGACGGCTCTACGAATGCTCATATGAATGCGGATCTGATGTAATTTGTCATCTTCAACTTATTAAGATAATGCCAATAACCATCGTAATAACACATGTTAAAAGGATGTCTTTACTAATGGTTTATTGTCACCTTCTTACAATAAGCTTTTAAGGATTGGTCTAAAAAGATGCACGTTATAACGGGTATTATCGCGACTGCATTGGCTATAATACAACCACTGATTGCGTTTGTAAGGCCTGGACCTAATTCACGTGCTCGTTACGCGTTTAATTGGATACATTGGTTCATTGGTATGAGCGCTTGGACTTTTGCGTGTAAGCAGATCAATATTTATGATCATTTTCATGCAAATACTGCCAAACATTTGTTAGAGTTTATGATGAGTAACAATTCAATTCAAAATTCATAAGAATCAATTGCAAAACTATTGAAATTGCTCGAAGCTGACTTGTTTTCAAGCAGTATTAACTTCGCTGAAATTGTTCAATAGATTTTATTGGAGAACTTTTATGTTATGGTTCATTTTAGCAGCAACAATGATATTAGCTGTCCCAATGGGAAAAACTGGTTTGATGCGAGTTTATGGTCATGCGCCAACGTGGATTATGGCTATTTACATAATCATCTTTCTTCTGTGCAATATCGCTCTCGAGATACTATCATCAAGCTCTGAAAGGAGATTCGAAAAACTTGGTATCATTCATACATGTCAATGCTCGATTATCGCTCAGAAGGAACGAATTCTGATACTTTCACTGCTCATTTCATTCAATCGACTTTTCCCCCAGTTTATCGAGAAACCGAAACTGAGACGGGTTTAAACCGAAACTATTGAGAAACAAAATTTTTTTTGGAATAATCAAGCCAGCTGATACTCTCACCTTATTCTTCTACTTTGGAATCATTCACTCTCTTCGAGGATTCGAAAGTTTCTGAAATTTTCAGATCTCACTCAGTGATCACGCTTAATTTTAACTGATATTCTGGAAACTGATAACCGTTAAATTTCTTATTTCTTACAACCTTTTCGTTTTGTTTCAGGCCTGAGTGGCATGGCTTTGGGTGTGATTAACGGACCAACTACTGAAAGTCCTGTCGCTAGACCAATGGTATGGACTTCATTTGTTCATTGTAATTTTGTTGACCTTACATGAATTGTCTATCTTATTCTTGAACATGTTGTGTTTGCGATAAGGTTCCGTAGTTTCGGAACGATGAGCGCTGCAATTGATGTCGCTGTTACTCTTAGTTCTATAGTTCTTTTTGAAGTGGCTAGAAACTCTTTGCCCATTTTATCTACTTACAAATAGTGTTTTGGCGGTTGGGCGACTTAACGAGCAATCTTCGTTTATTGCATAGCTTCAATCAACCGTGATAGCAATCAGTATTTAATAATATTCTAAAACTAACCATTCAGTTGCCATCCACATCGACAGTTTCTTGAAATTTATTCGTCGATGGAATTAGTAATCAGTAGTTCTGATTCAATGGATGAAGAATGTTATCTAGCTATCAATAAAGTAATTATCCTCACTCGAATGAATCAATTCGAATTTCAGTATCCTCCAGCACGATTATTCGTTTTTGGATTGCACTTGGTTGTTGCAATTGGTGTTACGTTAACGATGACTGTTATGCTCGTTAAAATACTTCTTTCTCATTCGCCATAGATTCAACTTCATCCATGTATATATACATCATGAAATTTCACTTTGGTACTTTATGGATAGAAATGCTCACAGCTCTGGCCGAAAAGCGAACATTCGAAGTGAATACCGATGGACTGGGGAAGAGGGTGGAATGGAACGCACATTTCGTTTGATCATCTCCTGGTTCAAGAAAATTGTTATTTTAAGTTTGGGGTTTTACAGGACACATTATTTCGTTCTCTCATCCTATCTTCTTTTCTCTTATATTGCTTTGCTTCACCTCATTACATTGAAGATTAACTTATTTCATACAAATAATTATTTACTTTTTGATAAATGAAAGTATATTCAGTTATCATAATCAGCAATCCCGTTTCCCTACTGCATTATCTGTTAAAAACCATTTATTTGGCCATTTGTTGGTGTGCTTGTTAATTCTCTCATCAGTTTATCTCACTTCTGTCGATTAAATTTTGAATATACCACTTCTTCGAAAAAAATGATACCACTTCCTATGAAAATGTTTCTTTAAAATTAGTTCTTTTTTTACAATTACACTCAAAATGGTCTCGATTTGTTCAATAAATGAATTTGATTAGAACATTTTTAAGGATGCAAACATTGTTAAATTATAAATGAATGTTACTATTGTGATAGTAGTAATCGTAGAAACAATAACGATTATATTAGTATTTATTTATGTGATCATTTGGGTGTGGCTATAAATATATTACATCGCTATTATTATAATATTCTCTATGTTTTACAGAATATCATATAAATATAATAGAAATTATTAATCTATCGAATAATAACATTCAATTGCGCTGAAATTAAATGTGAGAAATAATTTTAATCTCCCTTAAATGTTATGGTACTGGTGGAAATGTAGCGCCCGGTGGAACAGCTGGTGGATAGGAAGAGTTCGTGCTCGGTGTACTTGCGGCTGGGAATGCTCCAGGTGCTGAACCCAGACCGGGATTCATACTGCCCGTATCACCAGGTCGAAGGCCCGGACCAGGCGTTTGGGAGGAAATCTCATTGTCACGCCACATTTTGAACATCATCATCCAGTTAAAACCAAACAGCAATGTCATACCAAAGCACAGCAACTGAATTTTTTGAAGAGCTTTAAAGTGACATCAATGAATGTCAAATTCCAAATCACTTCTTCATGTGATTAACAACTGAGTCATTATTGTGATTATCCTTAGCGTTAGCGGTAAAATATCGCAATTATTACGAACGTTCTCGTACTGTTAATCGATCATAACTAAGATGAGTTAGTGAGATAATAACTACAAATACTCAACACGTAGGCATGCAATAAAAGAAAACACTAACCGCACCAACACCAAACAATGAATAGTGATAACTGATGAGTTTTACCAAAAGGACGATCACGTTCACAATATTGAAAATAACAAATATAGCTGAAGTAACCATTTCCTGGAAATGGAAGCATCAATCGGTCATGGATTTGATTCACAAATTTATGAATGAATTAAAAGTTAGATTCAACAGTTAAACAAATCAAAGCATACGTAAATAATCCAAGCACGACGTCGAACGATAACTCTGTCAAGTCCAAATAAGACACAGATATTATTGAGAATAATTAACACAAACTGAATAATGAGCGTCAACCATATCCACCATCCTGCTCCATAATGAGATGCAGCCATGAGTATGAGATAAATTAACAGAACCAACTAGAAAATTAATTCGTGCAATTGCACCACTCTATCAACAAATGATCACCAACATTTGCATTCATATTAATACCATGTTGATAACATTTCCCAGATTCATGTCAAGTTTAAAAAAACATCATAAGCATATACTCAATTGTTACCTCAAAAATAATTTAGAGAATGCAACTCAAACATGTAAATGAATGCACATACTTCTGTGTATAATGAAATGTTAAAAAGTAAGAATGTTACAAAATTCATGAAACTTACAAACAGCAGTGGTTTCAATAGATCAGGTAATTCCTTGATTCGACTTAGTTCGAAACCCGCCATTTTGTGATAATGTTGAAGAGAACTGCACTATTGTTCAATAAAGAAATAAACGCTCACAAAAAATTCAGTCGAAGTGGTTACTGAATATGGCCAACAGTTACTTAGTGAGGTGTGTTGGTTGTGAGACAGATTGAATGAATGAACTAAGAATGATGATTAAAATACATGAAGCAGAGTCGTCTATTTACTTTGTATCCATAACGTCAGTTTGTTGATAAAAGCATAATGTTTGAAGCGTACAGAAAATATTAGTTGATAATGTCGTGTCTGTGACAGATATTCATACAAACGTGCAAACATACAAACAAACCAATGTGCCATCATTCATTTATATGGACATAGGCGTGAACTAATGCAGTTGTCAAGCAGCAATGCTTTACAACTCAAACACTTATTATCGATGAATAAGGCATGATTATTGTTGGGTGGTTTGCTTGATAGCTTTATCAATTTCAAGCGATTATTATCGATCAGATGACTGATGAATACCGATGATGAATTTGAATGTAGTTTTTTCTATCACTTGAAGAGATAGATATGAAATTTTAAGAAAATGATCACAAGTGTGAAAAGAAATGAAATTTTAACGTTTTACTGAAAACAGTGGAACAAACTGTTACAATAGGTGCACGAAATTAGGTGGCATATGGTTAAAGCAATCACTAAAACTGTGTAAAAATGCTGACAGAATCAACCAAGATGAACAACATCATACAACGTTACAGAATAATTGCCCTGCTCTCAATAAAAAATCACTGTTCCATACCTACTATCGACTTCGTCATCATAATATTATTGCTGAACTGCGATGTCACCAATAAGCAAATAACAACTTCACAATGGACATTTCAAGAATGTAAAGTCATCATGTTCAATCTTCTACAATGAATAATTTTATTCGAACAAATAATCAAAACAGAGAATGGTGAGCAGAAAAAATGGATTGAAGAACAAAGATAAGAAACAACGACTAATTCACTGATACAATACAATAAAAACGTTCACAAGAACATTAACTAGCTTGTAATGTTCAACTAGACAATTACCCATCATAAAGAGACAGCTTGGCAGAACACATTCAAAAGGCGATGGAACTTTGAAATATTTATGATAAATTCCTAATAAAGTGAATTCAGGGAAAGATACTGAAATCGTTGATGAATATCAAAACGACGATGGAAAACAAAAGATTAACAAGCGACCTGACATCAGAGTCAGATAAAGATGAGCAACGACAACGTACGAAAGCTAATTGAAATGATGAACTGCGTCAACAATTTTCGATGCTGAAATACCGTACATATCAAGAAGAAGATCTGGAGGACCTGAGCGTGGAACGTCCGTAACACATAACGAACGTACACGGATGCCCGCTTCATCCGAAACTGCTGCACAAACTGCTTCACCGATTCCTGCAACGAATCACGACCGTCTTTTCGCACTGCTGTTGGCGAATGCCCTTACATTCAGCCAACAAGTTATATTTTAACACCAAACAAATGAGAACAGCTGCAACAGAATTTACTCACGAATGTAATCAAACATCATTTAATTACCTCCAGCTGGATAATGATCTTCAACGGTCAATACACGACCTCCAACACGTTTGGCATGCTGAACGATCAATGCCTTGTCGATTGGTTTGATTGTGAACGGATCAATAACGCATGCGTGAACACCCTCAGCCGCCAACTTATCAGCTGCTTTAAGACATTCGAACAGAGTTACACCAGCACCAATCAGCACTATCTTATCATCGCTCGATTCGCGAACAACCTACAATCATAGAATTACTCCAATCCATAACAGTGAATCAAAATGTGTTTAAGTGATTTTGAATAATCAAACTGAAAGTAAATATTACAAAAGTTGCACACTATAATTCGTCAACGAATATAAAACTGAAGTATTGAATTGAAATTACTGAGGAAATATCATAAAGAGGATTGTACCTTTCCCTTGCCAATTTCAAAGTGTTCGTTATTGTCATAGATAATCGGATTGGCTGGTCTACTAGTTCGAATGAAGACAATACCCGGAGTGTTCGCTGCTAATTCAGCTGCTCGCTCACAAGATACTCCATCAGATGGATAAAAAACTATTGATGATGGTATCGCTCTGAAGATCGAAAGATCCTCAAGAGCCATTTGAGAAGGACCATCCTCTCCAATTGAAACGCCAACATGCGATCCAGCACACTTGAGATTCGCAAACGATACAGCGCCCATACGCAGCTGATCAGTTGCTCGAGTGAAGAAGGCCGCGAATGTGCTAAAAAACAACGCAAACTGATTGGAAACAGAATCGAACGGTGCACCATTAAAATAGCATTGAAAAAACATTCGAAAGAAAGTTGTAAATGAAAAATGAATTCATCGTAATGAAAAAAGCAAGTTACCTAGTGAAAGGAATGGTTCGGCCACGACATCCTGCACCAATAGCCACACCGACAAGATTCTGCTCCGCAATGAAGCATTCAATGAATTGTTGCGGATGCTTATGAAGCAACTTCTCACTGAACGTTGAATTCTTCGTATCACCATCCAATCCGATCACTCGAGGACATGCATCACCTAACTTTGCTAGAGCTGTTCCATATGCTGCACGAGTTGCTACCTTATCTCCTTTATTATAATTTGGTGGTTCCATTTTGATACTGCCAGGACGTATATCAACCTCTGGCGCATCATTTATTGGCTTCTTGATGATCAGTTTACCTCGTCCAGACTTATCTTTGATACGTGCCTCTATTGCTTTGACTGTTTCCGAAGGTACTGGCTTACCATGCCAATTCTCCTGTAATCGATAATCATTCACATTTCATTATTTGAACGTATCAATTCATTTCATTTTATCCAACTTAATTGACCGCCGCTCCAGTTCTCGTATGAACTGTACATATCAAGGAATATCCTTGAATTTTTCAATGAAACTGCTCTGAATGAATGATAAATAAACAATGATTCGGAATGTCTAAATTGTAAAACCAACTTGATCTTCAATATTTTCGATTCCCTTTCCTTTAAATGTCTTCGCAATGATGGCTGTTGGTTTATCCTTCGTTTCTCTACAAAAAAGGCATATTTAATGGAATAAATCAAGTTAGTTTTGGATGATTCCATGTTAAAATCTTTCGGCTCAAATGAGAGCATCAGTATCACGTCTACTGATCAAAATGGTCAAACAATAATGGCCATAATAAAGAGAGCAGTAACCTTGCATTGTGGAAAGCTTTAAGCAGCTGCGACACGTCATGACCATCAACAACAATAGCATTGAATCCGAACGCCTCAAATCTTTTCGCGAAAGCCTCTGTATTATGGCCAAGCATTGTAGGCTGCGACTGTCCAAGTCGATTCACGTCAATGATTGCAACCAAATTGTCCAATTTGTAGTATGACGAAAAAGCTAAACAACATCCCACATATACATTAATTAAGATTATTCATTACAGTTTTTTGAGAAATCAAATAAGTTGCACGAGATTACTCAGAATATGATTTTGAAAACAAAATGAACATTCTAAACTAAATGCACATCAGTAGATCTCAAATATAAAAATTGACATCAAATCATACCAGCTGCTTCCCATACAGACCCTTCTGCACTCTCACCATCACCCAACAGGCAATAGACACGATAACTCGCCTGAAATTCATTCAACAATACTACAACAAGCAATGACGATATGATTATTACTGTGATACAATCAGAAACGACAGTACCAATCGATTAGTAGACATAACTAACTTTGTCGATATATTTGCCAACATATGCCATACCAGCTGCACAAGACAATCCCTGACCAAGCGAACCAGTTGCAACATCAATGAAATCAAGACGAGGAGTTGGATGGCCCTCAATGTCTGAATCAATCTTGCGCAACGATAAGACCTGATCATGTGTCAAATGACCTGCTTCTTCCCAAGCTGCATAGAGGATTGGGCAAGCATGACCCTAAAAATTTATAATTCGACTGAATACATTAACGTTTCGTTCGAACGTCCCAATGAATTGATTCAACCTTTGAGAGAACAAAACGATCGGCAGACGGATGCTTAGGTTGATCCTTATCGTAATGCATCTCATCGAAGAAAAGCGTTGCCATAATTTCCGCAGCAGAACATGAGCTGGTTGGATGACCAGATTTAGCGGTACTGGTCATTTGAATTGCAGATATACGCATACGATTCGCTGCATCGCTCAACGCCTGAACGTGTTCTGCACTTGCCATTTTGCTCAACAACCACTTCGATGCTTGTATACCTTCAATCCAGCTTCATTTACTCATTAATCCACCAATTAAAATCACCGCAAACTGGACTCGATTTTGAATGGCCCCACAACCAGACAATAAACATTACTTCTCGAAACGCATAACAAACACTGATGATTATCCAATCAAAACAAAGTTATTAATGAATATAAACAACACTCATCAACAAATACGTCACATAAAATAACATTATACTCTAAAAAAAATTATACCATAACAAATAAACACTAGTACATTTTGTTTACAATTATTACTGAACTTTAATCACGACAAAATGATTGTCAATGAAGTAATGATAATTTGCTTGAAAACACCACAAGATCTGACCACTACACATGCTTCATGCATCATGATAATGCCACTTTTCATGCGTGACAATGTTTGAACCTAGTTGAATTTCTCGGTATAAGGCTATTAAACAACACACTTCAAGGATATTCTTTAAAAAATTCAAAGTTGAATATTCCGATCTCATAAAATAAGTATCACTAAAGTTGCATTTAACGAAACAGACCGTTCGTTAGGTCATGTATTAGTGTTGACTGAACGGGTTGATAATATTCGTTAGATCATTAATTATGGGTCTGTTCAATGAGTACGTGCGGGCTGGAAATTTTTTTTTTGATGATGAACAAAAACATACAATTGATAGCAACAATTCATGTATCAGTATTAATTATCACGAAGCCTAATCTTACAGATCACTGATTCTTCAGCATTTCGCTCTAGCAATGAGCCGAACAGATAAAATGATAATCGTGATAGCGAACCAGTAATGCATTTCAAAAAGCATATTTCCAGTAAGAAAACAACAGCTTAAGCTGAAAAATCAGTGCACCGAAAGGCACACCATAAAGCACGCAGAAAAAGAAGCGCTCAGTGTTTTGATTAAATGATTAAATTCACTTTACAACGACTGACATACACGATCGATGAACTTGATTTTTTTCGATATAATTGCAGATGAAAACATTCGCTAATATAGCATAAATCTTGAAACTTATGACAAACATTCGAGAACAAAACTCAAGAATTATTCCACGTGCAGACAAACCTCGTGGAATATATTAGCTAACGGAGGACCGATAATCCTTAAGTTGTTAGCACGGCAATCAAAAAACAGTTCGCGTAATCGATTTTAATTCTAAGTTTTCGCTCGAGTTCACTCGTTATTCATCGTTAGAACTGAGCAAAAGGTTGATCCTAAAAGTCTAGGCGGTGGCGCTAGACATCTTTCTCGCACAATCGACAGCAGCGATTTTGAGGCTGTTGGAATAATGCACATGAAGAAACAATGAATTAATCGCATTGCAACGAATGAACGATCAAGCAGTAAACACTTACCGGCACAACGATGATGGTTAAACAAATAGCGGTGTGGCCGTAAAAGCGTGAATGGAACGAGTGATGCACAACCTTTCAGAAACAGTTTGCTGTAAAATGAAATCACAGAGAAATGATCAACTTAAATAACAAGTGAATTTGTCAAAACAGTAATACGACGTCGTAGTCAGTAGTGGGTACCTCGTCAGCTCACAACTGTTCTCTCGATAAATATACAAACATGTACATATTACACCAGTACACTCCAACAAAATAATCGTATGATTACATTGACACTAATTGTAAGACAACACCAAGTGATTGTTGAACATCCAATATCGTTGCCATAATAGGAAGTGTTCTACATCAGCTCTCATCACACACTACAACTCTCAAAGCACAAGCTCTCTGTTCAGCCACATAACTACGTAAAATCAACCCAGTGACATGTTCTAAAACATTTTTTACAGCACTCCATTGCACTTCAGTCTAAACAGCTAAATCTTAAAGGGTGTTATGTTAACTGTCAGCTGAAATCTTAGCTCAGCAGTCGGTACATTTATACTACTCATAAAAGAGGGAAAGGAGCTGAAACGCCCACTTTCAGTGACAATTTTGTGGTTGATTGTGGTCACTTGTTAGCAACGCATGTGACATGGTAACACGTGACCATAATTTCATTGAAAATATCACTATCACAAAAACAAGGAATAACCTAATGATAATAATTCTTTTGATGCTTGTACACATCACAAAAGTATAAATGAATCGAATGTAAGTATTGCAAGAAAGAGCCACGAAAGCGTTTCACTGTTGCACAAACCCTAAATTACACTGACTTGAACAAACAACCACCTTTGCAATCAGTGGAATTGAAACGACGAATCCAAACACAGCAGAACATTAGACATCATTATGGTAACTCTGACTGAAAGATGAAGAGAACGAAGGTTACCGCTTATATGATATGTATGGAAAGAAGGAATTAACTGCTGAGGTTTACGACAATGTGCCACTCCGACAATTTGCGCATGCCTCATCATTGAGTAGCATGTAGTGATATCTCTATTCCACGTTTTTGAAAACTGTTCTGTTCTGTTCGATTTCGCTCAAAAAACGGCTCTCTTATATTCTATCCTGTGCGTTCCTCGTTTGAGAACTGTTCTATTCTACCCACTTAAACTGTGCTATACTGTTCTAAACTGTTCTATTCTGTTCCGTCAGTCAGAAAAGCGATACGATAAAACTTGTGATAATTAGGGTTGGAAACGTGGTTTTTCAATGTTTTTATTGCAAAATTGAAATCATTTCAGGTGGGAGAAGATTGTCCACGCAGGCAGTTGACAGCTTTTGACCGTGATGAGTGGCGAAAAACGGAAGGTTTCGAGCTCTGGCAACCAGCATCACTGAAGAACAGAGGATTCTCGTTTCGACCCAACGCTTCGGTCAGAAACTGATGCACGATTTCGCATACTAATGAGTTCGGAATGAACTGATTCGTTCAATCGGACTCAAGTCCACCAAGCATAAACTTTTATTGGAAGCGTAAAATGTGAACAATTTCTGTGATGGACTGACTGCTCATAGAGTTCAGAGTACGACCAACATTTGAAAGTAGAGTGTTCATTCGGAAACACAGTTGTATTATTAATTGTTTCTTGAGGGAATTCTTCACAAACAGTCATCGGCAGTTTCGAGAATAAAATGCGATAACTCGCCGTTGATGAGTTGTTTCACCTCTCACTGATGGCCTTTCGTCTCTCTCTCTCTCAAGTGATATTGAATATGTTTTTTGGTGGATTCGAACCTTTAGCAGCTATCAGCACTGAATTACTTGAGAAACTATTTGTCTGCCATCCTTGCAGAAGTGCGAATAAATAATAATAGGTAAAATAAAAATAGTATTAATAAAAAACAATAATAATAAGAAAAATGGTAAATGATAATAACCAGTAATAAGAATGATTAGTAATAGTTAAAACAATATTAATAAATAATAATAATCAAAATGATATTAATAAATGATAATAATTAAAATAATGTTAGTTAATAATAATAATAATAATAATAATAATAATAATAATAATTATTAACTAACATTATTTTAATTATTATCATTTATTTTAATTACATTATAATAATAATTATTATTATCCTTTATTAACTAACATTTTAATAATAATAATAATAATAATAACAATAATAACAATAATAATAACAATAATAATAATAAATAATAATAATACTCTCTCCCTAGAAATAGATGGGCATATGGGAGAGTAGCCCAAAATCTCTGTACTTGCCAA